GGCTTAAAGAGAAGCATTACAATTTTTAGAACTGCCATAATGAGATGGTACAAACATAAAAACTGAGGTACAAAACAACTAAAAATAAACGAGTTGGAACCCCAGGTAGGTAATCAAGAATTAGCCAATTATTGCTATTAATCATGAAGATAAGAAGGAAAATGCCAGAATCTAACACATAATTTTATATGTCTTCATTTTGAAGACTTTGTGTGGTTCAACTTATGAAATGACAGATTATAGCTTCTGTTTTTAACAAAAGTAACTCTACTAGTAGAAATGTAATGCAGTTACAGTAGTCTACAAAAGATGACAGGATTTTTTTTTTTACGTTATCAGAGCAGGAACAAAAGGATTGCCGGGCTGGAAGGAATATAAAAATTGTTAGAACACACCGTCCCTTGGAACAAAGACCAATTTCAAAGGCAGTGGCAACAAAGGGAAACAGTAGTCACCCCTACAAATTTGCTGGCAAGCCCTTTATGCATAAACATGTTTAATGTATATCAAAATTATGAATGCAAGACAGGAGAGAATCAGGTTAAACTAGTTGAAGAGGTTAATATATTTGCGCATTTCTATTTATTTATACTTGAGTACAGTTTTGTTTCTATGAACTTTGCATATCGACCTCTATATACTACAACAGCATCATAAAATGTTAATCCTGCCATGTCTTTTGGGTTTATTGAGCCACCCTAGTGTTATTAATTGCTGCCCTTTTGAAAACTTTCAAAAAGGACCTTTGTGCATAGCCAGAAATTGTAAAAATTATAACTGTTTAAAATAGCAAAGCAGTAAAATTACCCACATCAAACAACTACAACAGGTCACATGGTCAAATAGGAAATCCTAAATAACTATGAGGTGCAAAAAATAATAAATAAAAAGAAGTAACATGGCGCTAAAATGCAATTGAATAAAGTGTGTGTGAGAGAGAAGGGGGGCTTGTGGGCACCTTGTTGCCCCTGGGGCCAGTTGTTTCATAATCCGTCCGTGGCTAATGTTAGCTCTGAAAAATATCACAACACTGGTAAACTTGTATAACTTTAAACTTTTTAAAGATAGTTTACTACTTATGTCCCAAATATTACATACGTTAATGTTTTGTGTACAATGACAATATAGTAATATGCCAGGCGAGTGAAAAACGCTAACTTTCAAAGCAACGTCAAGGAGAATGTTACGGCTAAAATGACGTTAAAATGTCAACGTTACATTCGGTCCATTAGGAAAGTACTGCTAGCTTCTGACCTAGTTAGCAGCACCGAAGACCGGCCGAACTAACGACAAAAACACGTTTAAAAGTTATAAAGAAACCTCACAGAAAAACAATAAATATAAATTTCAAGCCATCAAAACTCACCAAATGCGGTGTCGCCCTCAAACCGAAAGACACTCGACTGCTAGAGGTTAGTTAGCGAGATAGCAAGTTGCCTCCACTTTCTTTACTGTGTATCGCTACTCTAAACTGCAGGGAACGTTATCTGATAGACCCGTAGCTGAGTGACATTCGCTAACTGACAGTCATAGCGCTGATTTTGTCATCTAAAGCTGCCTTCTGAACTTGAAAGGGGCCGAGTTGAACAACGGGGAGAGCTGCTGGGCTAGCCTGTCTGACAACTTCATTTCCCTGTTCTTTTTCTAGCGAAACAGCCGTCCTCTCTCATCCCGGGGACACTGGGCGGGTATGTTGCGCTCTGCTTGTTCTGTAGAAAGTGACGATCACCAGCGTCAGCCAATCAGCGTGTCCGCAGCACAACTCAATGAGACGCCCTCTTTACTGCGGGGTGCGCCTGTTTTACGGCTCACGCTTTTTTTTCGTGGCGCAGGGAAGCGCAAAGTCATCAAAGGAAGCCCTTCTGACGGGCTGCCCCGCGAAGACAATTAAGCGCATCTGATTTGTGTAAAAAAAGAAAAGAAAAGAAAAGAAAAGAAAAACCCTACAAGACCTGGGGCTATTTCATACCATTAAACTAAAGGTTTAAAATAAAGATAAAGAAGCTATTAAAGAAACTAGAAAATGTTGGAGTCAAAAAGTAACCATATTAATTTGTTTAAGGCATTTTCCAAAGATACTTAATAAAAATCAATCAAGCAAAAATATATACAATTAAAATAATCTATTTCTTAAACATTAGGCAAGTCACTAGATAAACTTGAAAAATAAAATCTAAAAATTAAAATGAGTCAAGCAACAAGTAAATACATAAATTTTTATTAATTGAAACTAAGACATTAATTACAACTATTTACTAATTTATTACACATGGCAGACAAACACACAATTTAAAGGATTTATTTATTTGCTGCATGTTGTTACATACCTTCATTTATAGACTGTACAAGAAACTTCCTGACAAATAATCAAAAACAAACAGAAAAATATTTAACTTTTAAAAAACTTTTTACACACCCAAAAATTAAAAAAAAAACAAAACAACAGAGGTTTTTTTGTTTGTTTGTTTTTTGTTTTTAATACTGTACCTGAAAATATTGGTTCTTATTCTTTGGCTCTTTGGTGACATCTCGTCACATCAATATCTCACGTGGTGTGCAACTTTGCAAACAGTCTTGTAGCTGCATGAATTATTGTTACAATTTATTATTTAGCAGAGAGCTTGACTGACTAAATAAAGCTCCTGTGTCCTAATCCAATCATGAATTGCAAAAAACGTACACACTTTAATCGGCACATAATTGCAAATAAAACCTATAGACGAAATTAAAATTGCTGTCAAAACTAGACCGAACCAAACAATTCCAGTAATTCAAAGCAAATGTGTTACACAAGGACTCTCACAACCTCTAGTATACGTACAGTTTACATAAAATACCTATTAATAACTCATATTTTAATGTTGACGATTTCACTGGCAGACTCATTGACATATAATCTGATATTATGTTTGATGGATGCACTGCATCTACTGTATATTGGAATGCGCTAACACATAGACGCAATCTGCATTTTCTTAGATAACTGAGAAGGAATGAACACAAGAATTATATGAAAATATTCCATATGGAAGAAAACATGTCAAGATACCTACATATACCCAGACTTAGTTAAGCATGCGTGAACAGATTGTCATTTTTAATGCAAAAATAACACAAAAAAACAATAAATAAATAAATAATGAAGCATTTTGAAAAATAAATAAACCTAAACTTAGAAATCCTTTACTTCTCAGGAATAAAAAAAAACAATAACTGCATATGCAGCAGAAAGAGAGTGCTTGTCGACTAACAAGCTGCTGCGACTGCTTGACTGACAGGAAACGAGTCCTGAGCAGATGTCCTGTCAGCTTAAACAATGGGAAGGATTTGAAAATTCCTCGGAGAAGGAGCCACGACACGTTGGCTGCCGCAAGTGCTTCTGGGGTTCAATGAGCAAACGTGCCGGGGAAGTTAGACGAGGGACATTTACTCACAGACTGAGAAAGAGGAGCGGGAGACACAGAAACAGACCTTTAAAAAAATAATCTGTTGGAGAAAACAAAAAATGGATTTCTTCAATTTCTTTCCAGCGAACTCTAAGCATAAAAAGAAGAAGAAAAAGGTTTCAGTGACTGAAGAAATGCTTAAAAATTAGTCAACACTAGAAAATGCAAGAGGCTGGTTTGGGTCTTAAGATTAAAGCGATTTACATTCATTATAATTTATTTATATATTTTATATCAGACACCCTAACTGTAAGCTTCAGAAGAAAGGAAAGGTTTATACCTAAAAGTAAACTGCATCTAGGACAAAAACATATGTTGGTACGAGAGCAGCCTGATAACTTACAGATCGGCCTACATTTCTGTCTTCAGAGGCCGAATTTACTAAAAAACGTAAAAGAGTGAAGAAAACAAGCTGATTTACTGACAACATGCAGATGAAAGCAAAGAACCACGACATATGGTTTTTATGCTGAATTAAACCCTGAAGTCTCAAAGACTTTGCTCATTAAGTCTGAAGAATGTTTACGATAGACATTTCTGTGGATGATAACCAATGTGGTCAGAGCATTAAAACTATTCCTCCCGGATACGGTCTGATGGCATGGCCCAGGAAAAATGATAGGTGTGATTTTGATTGAACGACGACGTAGAGAGAAATGAAGTTGCTGTCCTGCCAGGTTCACATGTCAACTGCTAAACAAGAAAAAAACGAAATCTGTGCGAGGATAATTGTTTTGAGATAGTAAAGTCCATGATTTAAAGAATTTACTGAAGCTCAAGATCAGGCATAGCGTGAATTGCAGCTGGATCCAGCTGGTGGACAAAAGTTAATAAAAATCTTACTTTTCCGTAGTCAACTTTCTAGATCTTTGTTGAAATATTACAGCATTTTGACCTTTCGTGTGAAAAATATTCTGTGAACGGCTTGAATAATAGTTTTATCTCTAGGTTCACCAAGTCACAATGTCACAATTTCTCTGCTTATTTTGAATCTCAATTCAGTTAGACCACCTAGAAGTTTGAAAAATAACAGTATACCAAGATACTTGTAACAAATCACTCACAGGAACCGTTTGAGGAGCACGGATGGATCCAGGTCAAGCTGAATGTAAAGATGTCTGAGTCCACAAAGTTGTGAAACAAACCGATTCACTTTTGGGACATGTGTGAAATCAGTCAGTAAGTGGAAAAACAGAATGCTGATGTGTAAAACATAAGGTGTGATGAGACAAATCAAAGATAAAGCGTGTGATTTAATATAAACAGATCATTAATATAAAAATACAAATTTTTGTCCTTTAGAAAATTAAAGATGAGAAAATAGTTTGATAAATCAAAACATTTTTCCATTCCTATCCAGACCTGAAAAGTACAGAAAACCAGAGCCAGAGCCACCTCTGGTTGATCTGCTTGTGTTGTGTCGTTTTTGCTGTTTTCCGTTTATGACTTAAAAAGCAGAACGAATAGTAATTGTTTACCACAACTAAATTACGACCTTTTAACACAGCTCCACTTTTTTTTGAAAGGATTGCAAAATACTCGACTTTTATTCTGAAAGGCAGAGCCGGAAGTTGTGCTGTGCTGCGCCGCGGCTAGCTTCATGCTAGTGGGAAAAAGCACACAATCACTTCTGAAGGACGGAAAGAAACGCCGCCGTTGTCCGGAACATTTCCCCACGTTTTGTACCTGCTCAGCGCCATAAGATAAAATCAGCAGGTAAGAAGCGAGCTGTGTCTCCGCGGCTGGATGTTATCCTCTGCGCTCCGTGGCCTGGTGTCGGTTCAGGCCGTGCTGCTGGCGCTACAACACCGAGCTGCTCGCTTTGAACACGGACTCCACACGTATGGCGCTCTTTGCCTTCGAAACGACTCGCAAAGACCCGCGCCTGTCATGATAATTTCCCACATTTAAAGGGAAATAAACGCAGTTTCTTCGGAGGGACTTCCAGAGGAAAAACTAATGTCGAACATACACATTTTCCTACCACCGACCTTTATTTTCCTGCATCATATACAGGCCTTGGGAGAACATTTCGGGGGCGCTGGAAATGTTCACAGAGAAAATAGTTTTCAGTTAAGGCTGTAGTTTGTTGGAGAAAAGAGTCACACGCCCCCTTTAATTCAAAACTTTGGAGGAGAAATTTAGAACACTTCTCATTTTCCTCGTTTTCTCCTCACTACAATTACTCAACGACACCCCGGTTTGTTACAAGACTGTTGCATGGGAACGTTTTAGAGAGCAGAGGCTGAAATAAAGATGACTATTTGTTGTTTACCCCGGGCTGCGTTCGTGTTTTCGCCGCTACTGTTGCCGCCGCAGTGAAAGCCTGGCCCTGCTATCATGGCTGTAATGGCTCTCAATCAAGGCGTCGCAGCACAGTGCTGTTTTGTTTTATTTTAAAAAAAGAAAAAAAAGCTACTTTTATTTATGGACAAGAACAGATTGAATTGATTCGTATTAATCTCCACTTCAATATACATTCCTGAGGCTCTGGGGAATCCGGACAGCACGGCAGCAGATTTTAACAACACATCTGCAGGTTTGATCTGTTGCGTTCATGCAGTGAATGCTTTGCATAAGAAAATTTTTTAAAAAGTGCACTAATTAAAAATAATAAAAAGGAGTAACGCATATTAAATTTTTAAGCTACCACTCAGACTTTTTGTTAAATCATCCAACTTCCTTTTAGATACAGCACTCATAAAATCATGAAAACCATATGTAAGAGTCAGTTTTTCCCCCCTCCAATTTGGTTGTAAAACGCTTTAATGGAGATAAAAGCCACCATTCAAAAGTCAAACTTCAAAGCACCCAAATATCTGGTGACGTCACATAAGGCAGCTGATCACAATTAATTTAACTCAATTTGCTACATTTTTGTCTTTTTTTTTGTCTTTTTTTTTTAAATCAAATTCCTTTTTCAGAAGAAGAGATCAAGCCAAAATCAATTAACAATTTTTGGAATTTTATATATATATATATAAACTTGTAGGTCTGCCCTGGAAATGAATTAATTCAAATGTATTCCTAACAAACTACTATAACACAGAAGAGGAAAAATAAATACTTTTGAATGCAACAGGACATGAAACATCTGTGTTATTTTCACTTGATCTGCAGTTTGATTTAAATGGTTTTTCTTTATTTAAATGCATAATAACTAATAAGTCACCGTTTTCTGCCTGTAAGCACATCATCTAAAAGTATGTGCTCTTATTTATTTTTATTTTTTTTGTTTGATTTAAAAATCAGATAATGGACATATGGTTTTAGTGCATAAACATTGATAGTCTTGTAATTGTTTCACTTCCTGTTGCATTCAGAATCTCTACCTCAATGGACCCCCAACGCATATTAATGTTTTTATATTTTAATTTTCTATGTATTGTAAACCTATCACAACCAGCAGGCCAAAACAGCAGAATAATTGAAACGCCAAGAAACGTTTCACTGGTGGATCGCTACATTTCTCCTTAACCCTGATTTGTTTTTATTCTTTATTCAACTAATAAAAGTGTGTGCTGTTTCTTTATTAATTGCTGCTGATTTATTTTAAAAAATAGGAAAAAATTAAAATAATTTTCTTATTTGAGTCACTGATCAACAATTGGAGCCATTTTAGTTAAAACTGGCCAAATCAGATGTTTTGTTTGCCGTCTTTTTTTCACTAAAGCCATCTGATCAGCTCGGCTCCTGTACCTCTCGTGATGTCATCGACTCCCGATCCGCTCAAATCGGAATTTGCTTGTTTTACTTTGCGAAATCCTCCAGTTGAAATCTTTACTCGATTGCTCAGCTGTGTTTGTCTTGTCCCGGTGAATGTTCGGTGGGTTATTTTGCGTGATTTAAAAAAAAGAAAAGAAAATAACCACTGTATAGCATCTTTAAGAAGATGATGTTGTAAAGACTGCAAGTATGACACAGCAGTTCAGCTCCCCTACTCCCAAAACATTTCAGTTCTTTCACACGGATGCATGGTTTTAGAAACGAAGCAGATGAAATGTGGAAGAACGCTCATGTCGAGTGCAAAACAGGCTGCATGTCGCATCATTTTCAGAAATGTAGGGGGTTGGGGGGGTTCCTGCTGTGACACTAAACTAAAATGTAACCTGCGTCTTCCTGAGTCATGCACCTGCTGATTTACCGTCCGCGCTTTGTTGTCATTTCTGTAGCAGCGCAGAGGCTACGGTCGTGTTTCCATTCACAAAAGTGTCTCCTAAAATTCAGCAGAAACGTTGATGACTTTTGGCTGCGACACATTAGAAAAGTTTTATGTCCTCCACTTAAACGATGAACGTCTACATCACCAGGCTGTTAGAAGCTCATCCATATTTCAGCCGGATCAGCCAACGTCTCCCGTCCCGCGTTTGATCCATCCAAGGCTGTGCTGAGCTAAACTTGGTGGTGGTTCTCGCACACAGAGCGGCTCTGTTGTTTCCTCCAGCTCTTCATTTCAAAGTTATTTAGCTGCCGGTTGAGCCAAAGTTTAGTTTCCGGACATTTCTGGGGTCGCTTCTCCTCTCTGAAGGGTTTTATTTGTGATTCTGTAATACTTGTATAACTTTTTTCCCTTTTTTTTTTTTTTTTTTTTTTTCTGAGTAGAGAAAGAATTTCAAATCCTACAGGAGTGTTCAGCATGCAAGCTAATCGATTAGCTATATATTTAATGACAGTAACAATTGAACAGCTTGGCTGTAGACATTCACCTTTTAAAAAAAGGAAACTATTCTAAAGAGCCTGAATATTGCTGACAGCGCCGGTCATGTTTATTGACACTGCTGGTAAAGATGACCACAAAACCTTATAAATACATTTTTTAAAACAGTAGTTTATGGTCACAGAAAAAGTTTAGGAAGTTAAAACCTTTGAGCACATTTATTCAAGATGGGTCGTAATCCTATGTTCGTAAATAATTGTTTTTTTTCACAAAATCACTGGTGACATAGTTACTAGCACTGCTAACAATCCCTTTATAGCAAGTTTAACTGAAACATTTCTTTTTGTTGAGCTTTTTTAGGTTAACAGTTTCTATGAATTTTTAATTAAATGTACTTAACTTTGAGTTTCCCCAGGATTTAGACAAGATGTAACACAGATAATTGTTTATTTTAGCCACGGGTCGCTAGGCTGGGAGAACATCTATAGTCCAGCTGCCATTACACACAGTGGAAAGGTAAAAAAAATCTGGGCCATAATCTGGGTTCTGGGCCATATAACAAGTAAGGCTGAAACGATTAATCGTGATTAATCGATTATTGAATAAATCGTCAACTAATTTAGCAATTAAGTAATTGCTAACTGGACTTTACAGACTAAAAAAAAAGGCCATTTTGTACAAATTCCCAACATATTCAGAGCAGTAATTGAGTCAAAGCTGCACAAAAACAAATACAGTTTGCATTTAAGATAAAAACAAGTAAATATGTTTTAGCCAAGAGGAATAACTTCAGCTTTTATTTTTCTTATTTAAAGAAGGAATTGGGATTATTTATAATATTATCTAATATTGTGTAAATCGACGTAATAATTGATTAATCAACTAAGATAATCGATAGTTGCCGCTCCAATAAACAGTCGACATTACAGTGCTGCAATCAAAGAATTAAATTGAAGGTTTTGTTCTCATGAAAACTTCCAACAAATGTGACGAATTGAAATGAGATGGATAAAAGAGAAACGTGCAGTAATGCCATTCGTGTCATCTCACAGTGAGTGAGAATCGATTTCTTATCTCCTCTTAAAAAGATTCATCATCCTTTTTTTTTTTTCCCCTTCTTATTGGACGACGTCCTCGTGTTTCCACCTTCACGCCCCTGATGGGTTTCTAATTGTCCTTTTCTTTTTAATCAGAGTCTCTGCGGCGCGTCGGAAGCTTTGGCAATGTCCGGACAGAGGAGAGGAGCCGCAGCACGGCTGCCCAAATGTGCCTTCTGCAAGAGCAGCCGGGACAAGGAGTGCGGCCAGCTGCTGGTGTCCGACAGCCAGAAGGTGGCAGCCCACCACAAGTGCATGGTGAGAGCAGCTCCTTGTTTTCAACTTTTACTGCCTCGCGTCCCTCCAGCGCACGTCTTCTTTCCAAAACCCTCCCACCGACCCGCTCTGTATGTTAGAGAAATAAACATTACAGCCTAAATAGAGCCACTATTTCTGTTTGACTCGTGTAGAAACTGACTCTATGGTTAACTCTGGACGTCTAAATATAAGCCAGGATGTCCTTCTACCCCAAAAAAAAAAAAAAAAAGAAATAAACCAAAAGCTATCCAACAAATATTTCATTTTTAAAAGAAAAGACATGAAATGTTCTGTTTCTCCTCTCTACAGCTTTTCTCTTCGGCTCTGGTTACGTCACACTCCGACAGCGAAAACATCGGAGGGTTTTCCGTCGATGATGTAAAGAAGGAGATCAAGAGGGGAAGCAAACTGGTGAGCTCCCACTTCTCGCTGTTGCATAATGGAAATTGCTGCTCCACAGAGATGCTATCTGGAAGCGGGCTTCAAGTCTTCCATATTCCTCCATCTATCATCATCTTCTTCTTTTGTGTGTGTGTTGAATTTCATAGCAAATGTGTTCATGCTTAAATTAGCCAAGAAAAGACTCAGAGTCTTGACATTTAAGTCTGAAGAGTGTGGGACTTTAACTTTATAAAAACGCATAGGAATCCTGATTATTATTGTTATTATTTTTTGCTGTTTGACGGCAGAATGGATCAGCGCTGCAGAGATTTAAATAACTTGTGCACAGGGCTCAGCGGGGACATCTCATGGGTCCAATCAGAGAGAAAAACAAACATGTGTCCAGAGATAATTTGTTCACCTCGGGGCTTGGGGGGGGGCTTGGGGGAGGCTTGGCGGAGCCATCAAAACTCAGATGTTTGTTTGTTTTTATAAGTTTTGGCATGGCTCTCCTTAACTCATGCCAACAGCATGATGCATTGCTCCCTGCTGTGTGTGAGGGGCAGGGGAGAAAACTAAGAAGCAGAAATTGCTGAGTTGGAGTTCCTGAATGAGCTAGAGACGCACTGATCAGAGTTTTTATTAGGGCTGCACCGATTGCAGTTTTGTGGCCGATCGACAATTACCGATCTTTTAAAAAGCCTAACTTACTGATTCTGATTTTGTCCGATACCTTTTTTTTTATTATTATTTTTGTCTGAAATGTTGCTCAATTTATCAGGAAAGCTGCTGAATTGGCAACAATGGGGTGACTGTTGTTAACTGTAAATGTGCAGACATGATCTGGTCGGCCGGTTTGTCAGTCAGATGTCTCTCACGGGAGAAAAGAAAAGCACAGTGGTTGATTTTTAGACGTTTGCCGAGGTTGATAACATCTGTGGATAAGATCAGCTTCACATGTAAAAATCGGCCGATCATTAAACACCATGGAAAGATCTGCATGTGAATGTTTCACATTTTTTCAAATTTTTGGATAATACATTTTTGAAAAATTTGAGTTATTCAGTCTGAACTACGGCAAACACAGGAGTGGTGAAATAAAAAAAAAATCAAGATTTTTCAAAAATTAAATCTTTGTAAACATAAAATTCGATTAATGGATAAAATCAATTTATCGTCCCCCCCCCAAAAAAAAAAAAATGCAATCGACCAAAATCAGAATCGTCAGACTTTTTAAATCATCGTCGATCAGCCAGAAAACTGCAGTCAGTGCACCTCTGACCTGTACACCATTATTGTTGCTGAAAATAGACTTTCCTGACCAGCCGAACAGAAAACAATCAACCCCAGAATATTTCAGATGTGACGCCTTTTATTTTAACAACACAAATAATTGAGACCCTTTTTTTTTATTTCAGATGTGTAGTGACTTACTGAGCCCCTTTCTACATAACTCCAACACTTGCAAAACGTTTGGAGGCCACTGCCCTCGACATTGTTGATCCTTTACTCTCAGATTTTTAAGAAATTGAATTGTCCTTGAGAGACTAGTCATGATTGGTATTTAATTTCAATTGGGATCATCAAAGTATGTTTGAATTAGAATTTTAAGGTCAAGAAGAAAATGTTGCTGTTTTACTTTCTGCATTCCTGTTACATTTTGGAGTGTAGCTCTCTCTTGCCCTCCTGCAGCCATAAATGCACAGCAGACATGTCTTTTCTTCTACAACAATTTCTTGTAAGTAGCTTCTTACGCCTCTTTTCATTTTCTAAATTTATTTTTAAACATCCTGCTGATGCTAAAAGTGGCTAACCTTGAGTTTTCATCCTCTTCACTGACAGCATCAACACCAAATAGTGGCACTGTCAGCCCAGCCTGTTAGCATTTAACATGGTGCGTACAGGGACTGGGGACGAGATGTTGGGTCTCAAACAGACCGGCTGAACTGAAATCCTCTCCTGTCTCTAGCCAGTCTGTAAGATGAAGATAAACCCTCTGAACTCTGAGGAACATTACAAACCCAAACCGTCTTTGTCAAGGCTGCACTTTGAAAGGTTTTGCCACCAGCCAACATCAAACTTGGTGCAACTGTATCTGATTCCTGTAGTGATTCCAAAGCAGCAACTTTGTGTAAAACAGGATCATTCTGGAAGTTTTGTGTTCTCGGTGTTATGCTCCAACTAGTTCCTTTTTTCTCCTCTCCAAAATCTGGATTTAATCCTCGAATAATAATATTCTTGCTTTCTGATGTTTGTCCAATACCATTTTTGTCTCCCTGTGAAATGCTTTTATTTTCTTTCAGAACAAGGAGTCTTGAGGTCTTACTTTTATTTTTCCAAAATGAGATTTCATTTTAAAAGCTCGTCTTGGCCTTTGGTTATCAATAAGAGTTGATTTAACATCCTTGTGGAGTCGAATTTACTTGGTGGGAAAAAAATGCTGACTGCATTTATTCAGCTTCTTGACACTTCACAGGTTTTTCATGTCTAAAGTCAGACTCAGTTTGTACGTTGTTCGATATCAGTGATGCTTTTCCTTTAAAGCCAAATTCCCCTTCAGGAACATAGTTTGATATTCAAAGGTGGGCTTTCTCTGGAGAGAAATTATTCCTTTAAACTTTCCGTCACTAGCTGCATTTCCATACAAATCTTTGTCTACATTTTGCTAATGTCGAAAAAATTTTTTTTGCAATTGTGATGTTTCTATTAAATAAAAAATAACCTCAAAATCACACTTTAATTAACTTGTTCACATGATAAGTCATTAAAGATCAAGGCAAGATCTGCATTGGTGTAACAAGACCTTTATACGTGGGAGTGACTATGTAAGTGGGGTTTTGGTAAAATTGTATTTGGAAGTTGTACGGAAGAGCTTTGGAGTCGACACGTTCTGGTGGAGTCCAGAAAATAAACAAACTATGAACCACGAAGAAGACTACTTCCTGTCGTCGTCTTTGTCGCTTTTGCCAGTAGTATCAGCTGGCTGCTGATCATGTGACCACTGTGACACGAAAAGTTGCAGTTTTGTGAAATTAATCTAGAAGCTGGGATGGCGTGGCTGAAAAACCACGTCATCCCAGCACGACAACTTTTTACCCAAAAACAAAACTGCTGTAGCTACATGTCGGATGTTGGCTTTCGTTAAAGTCATCCTGCTTTGAGCCTCAGCCATATCTCTGCTTCCCTCCTCTTAAGATGTGCTCCTCGTGTCACCGGCCGGGCGCAACCATCGGCTGCGACGTCAAGACGTGCCGGAGGACGTATCACTATTTCTGCGCGGTGAACGACAAAGCCCAGATCAAAGAGAACCCGTCGCAGGGGATTTATCTGTGAGTTTAGTTCTGAACATTTTATTCTTTTTCCCCCGCAGCAACATCAGCAGATTGTTATTCCTTGGGTGGGTTCACTTCACCTAATCTCGTCTTTGTGTTCGCAGCGTTTACTGTCGCAAACATCGGGATGCGTCTCAGGATGATATTCAAGGTGAACAAGAGTTCGCTCTCTGCGACATGTCGAATCGATCCAGATCTGCTAGAATCTAACCATTTTATTGGGAATGTTTCAGCAGACGCAGAAGAGGAAGGCGTGGCCAACGACTCGGACTCGTCGCCTCCGCAGAGTCGGGGCAGGGGCAGATTCGAGAAGAGCCGAGCTAAGGTGACGTCCCGCGGCCAGTCGGAAGAAACCCGTTCCACTTCCTCCTCGCAGGCTGCCGACGAGGAGAGCTCCTCCCACGTAAATGCACTCACCGGTCGAAAACCGATTTGTTTCGGTGTGCGTGAGCTCGATTCATGGTTTGACCGGTGTGCCGTGTTTCAGCGGGACAGGTCACCGCTCCGAGCCAGCCTGGGAGACGCCGGCCAGCGCTGCGGCTTCTGCCACGCAGGCGACGAGGAAAACCAAACGAGAGGCGTGCTGCACACGGATAACTCCAAGAAAGTGGCCGCACACTACAAGTGCATGGTAGGATGAGTCGTTCAGCCTCAGGCTGTGCTTACACTGCCAATAGGAGCTTTATGTGATAATATGGCATTTCTCAATTATTTTATGTCATACCCACAGGGGGTCATCATTTTTTTTCACGTCTTCCAACTCATTTTATGGTTTTGTGTCTCAAACAATTTCCAAGTTCAATTTAGTAATTGAACTTGGAAAGCCTGTGGTGTGCATTTCTAGACTTAATACAGTAACACATTTTAAAACAGCAAACATTGGCTACTTGTCAGCTTCTTGAACTTATTCTTTTTCTAATGGTTTATAGCTCATAACAGATGTGTGTCTATCTATCTATCTATCTATCTATCTATCTATCTATCTATCTATCTATCTATCTATCTGAAGTTATAGTTTGTCGGTTTTGTTGGTTTTACAAATTATTTTGAGCTTTGAAACTTGTTTAAACGTCTGAATCTGCTTCTAAGAAAAAAACACGGACTAGCTGAGCTGTTCACGTCAGATCTAGATAACTCTATCAAAAAGTTTTTAAAGACATAATTTTTTGTCTTTTTTCTGCGATAGTATAGCTATTCTCGTAATATGAGTTTGCTCTCGTATTATTATGACTTTATTCTTGTATTTTAAAAAAATATCGTAGTTCGGCCGTAATACTTCATCATAATTGCTTTACTAACCTCTGTCGCCATTTTTCTTTGTTTCTCACGAGCCTCTTCATCTCTCCTGATATTTTAAAACATGCGTGCCTGTATCCTCCTCCGTCAGCTCCGTTTACATCAGTGTTTCTGTCTCAGCTACTTCTATTGGCTTGAATGGCAGCCTGTTGATTAATTTGAACACTGCTGCCACCTAGTGACCGGAAGCTTATTTTTTAATCAGTCAGGTAAGAATAAAGGCTATATAATAATAAAGCCCTCCTGCTTCTCACGTACTGGTTTAATATGTAGTTGGGCATTTTTGGGAGCTTAAAGGACATGATTCATGATTTTATTAATAAGTAAAAGTCCTTTTCTTTCCTCTTTACAATTATGCACCACTTTGTCAAGCATGTCAAAACCTTCTAAAACATGTTGACGTTCATAGTTGAAGAAATTCAAGGAATGAGACTATGCTTTCAGGGTTCACTGCGCATTTCTCAAGATCTCTGATGTGTTGCAGCTTTTCTCGTCGGGGACGGTGCAGCTGACGACTACGTCGCGGGCCGAGTTTGGCAACTTCGACGTAAAAACAGTCATCCAGGAAATCAAGAGAGGCAAAAGAATGGTGGGAACATTCATGCAAAATCAGGCTTTTGAGTTTGAAGCTGACTGCTTTGCCTGACTTACTTTAGTATTCATTTTTGTTTTGTTTTTCCAGAAATGCACACTGTGTAGTCAGCTGGGTGCTACTATTGGGTGTGAAATTAAAGCCTGTGTGAAGACCTACCACTACCACTGTGGGCTACAGGACAAGGCAAAGTACATAGAAAACATGGCCCGCGGCATTTACAAGTGAGCTCAACATTTAATGCGACAGCAAAAGCGTCGAATGTTTTGCTTTTAAATTTTCTGTAAAATTATCAAGAGAAATTTCTGAGTGGCTTCCTAGTGAATGAAGAGTTTAGATATAAGAGGAAGGCTGATTCTTTTCATGTTTTGACCAGATTATATCAGCTTATTTCTGTCAGCATAATTTAAAAAAACCAAATACTAAAATTATTTCTTGCAAAACTCCTTACTTTTTTTTTCATAAACTGGATCTTGATGTCACTTTTCCCCCCCCAAAAAACTTCCCAAAATCTGCATCAATGCAAACCAAATTGATTTCAAAAGACGTGCACAGCTATGATTCGTGAATGCAGATTCAAACACTGCAGGTAGTTTTACAACAATTCTGTTTTTCTTTTGTCACAGTAATGAGTGTCCTAAGTTAATAAAAAAGGATCTGAAAGCAACTTGAATGTATTTCATACCAAATGTAAATTGCTGATCGCTGTGTGAGTCTTCCTGTTTCCTGATGTAGCTCTGTATGTTTTTTAGTTACTATTTATAGTTACTACTTACATAGTACAGATGAAACACGTTTAGAGCTTTAAAACCACTTGGCCTCATCCACATCTGATTCTCAGCTATGTTTATTTCCATTTTCTTATAAAGCAAAAAAATAGACGCTGCAAAAATAAGATCAAAACGGTTCTAAACGCTTCTGCTCTGATGATAAACAGCGTTTCAATGGTAGTTAATGAAACTTGAAGTATTGTCCTTTTTTTTTCTTTCTTTTGAAACGCAGCTCTTTTTGTGCTTCCGTTTCGTTCTTAGACTCTACTGCAAGAACCACAGCGGGAACGAGGAGCGGGACGAGGAGGACGAGGAGCGAGAGAACCGTAGCAGAGAGAGGGCAGCGATCGACCACGGAGGAACACCGGCGACGCAAGTAAACGGCAACTAGGTGGGGCAAAACGCACAGAAATACAAGGCGCCGCTCTGCACAGCAGAGCGTCTTTTGAGATCTTATTCCTTCAAAAAGCGCAAGTCACACACAAACAGCGACATGTGCGAAGTGTTTATTTTTGTTGTTTTTGTTGACTATGAGTCACAGCTGCCGAACGAATGCGTGAACTCGTTCTTGAAACGGAAACATCACCAGCATGGGTTAAGGAGAAGAACTGGGTTTGTCACTTAGTGGTCCAAAAATCTGATTTTCAGATTAAAGTAAAGTTTGCATTTTATTTGGAAATAAAGATCCCAGAGTCTGGAGAGGAAGAAGTGGAGAAGCAACGGATCCACGTTGCTTGAAATCCAGTGTGAAATTTCCACAGTGGGCGATGATGCGGTGTCCAAGTGTTGGTCCACTCTGCTTTGTGACGTTCACAGACAGTTTACTACAATTAAACCATGAATGTCAAAGATTCCTGCCTGCCATTTTTAATTTTCATTTTCCATCTTATCATTTGAGTGAGAGAGAGACCTTAGCTCGCTGTGAGAGGTTGAGCAGCTAAAGTTTTTCTTCAGCCTACATCCCCCAGAATCCTTTTACTTTTTTTGCTTTTGCTTAATTCTGAAACTTGTTTAATTTTTATCTATTTGCTGTGTTTTCTCTTAAAGTATGTTGTTTTTGACCTCTTTGTATATATAAGCACTTTGAGTTGTCTTCAGCTGAAATGTTGCCCTGACTTGCCTACAGGCTGAAAAGTTGCTGTAACTCAGAGTCCTGACTGAGCATCAGCTGTACATCTTTTTTGATTAGCTGACATTTCTGTATTTAAAAAAAAAAGGTTGTTCTTGTGTTATACTCACATTTTCTGAGGAACTTAAAACCAATAATCATCAAAGTGATCTGAAGTAAATGCTTAAAATATATCACTATGTAATGAATTTGTATAAAGGGCTTCATTCCCCCCCGCCTTCTAATTACTAAAATAAGTTGCTAACGTGATATTTTTGTCTGTCCTTGCAGGTTTGTGACGTGGAGAGAAGCTGAAGAACGTTTTTATACTAAATTTTAGCCTACTCACACAGTCATGGTCCAGGAGCTCCCTTTGGCCTCCCACGTGATTTCTCTTTTCTTTTTCTTTTTCTTTTTATTTTTTTTTTATACATTTCCCCGTAAAAAGGTTATAACGTTCCAATGTGCACCAGGTGTCGTCTTTATGAGAACCTGTCTGGAGTCGGCTGGGTACTTGTCGCAGATCAGTGTCACCCTGTTGAACACTGGACCTTCAGAGCAGGATGAAAAGCAGTGGGCTAATCTTTCTGCAGATTGGTCATCATGGGGTGCAGATTAAAGGCATTAGTATGAACAGATGGACTGTCACTTTTTGCCCCCTCGCGCTTTCTCATCCCCCATATCACACGAACCACACTCATGGAAAGGCAAGACTTCTTCCTGCCTCCGTTGGACTCACTTTTAAGAGGGGTCTGTTTGTTACTAGTCTTTCTGAAGTTGTGCAGTTTGATTACCTTGTTTCTGATACCATGTCTTAAGAAGTACTCTTCATGTTAGCCTTTCTTTCTTGATAATGTAATATTTTGCTACTGTACTCCCGATCATCAGTACTTTTGAATATCCGGATTTCAGACGGCGACGAGCTTTGCCAGCATGCACTTGGATTTTTCCCACTGTTAAAGGTGGTGTTTATTTTTGTTCTTTTTTTTTTTTTATCTTGTTGCTAAAGGGCAGCGTAGAGGTCTTTAGGGGAAGGCGGGCGGACCTTGTTTTGGTGTACTGTTTACTTGTAACTCAAATGTATTCATGGATGATTGGAATAGAAAATATTTTGTTTTACACATTGTCGGCTGAGCCGGGTCTTCATTTTCAGTCTTTGTACAGTTTCCTAGGAAAATGGCCGCTGCACCACCATATTTCTGTACACTACAGTAGTGTAACTATTTCTCGCATCCTAATGTGAAAGCTGAACATTTAAGAGTTTATACAGTACCACTTTTTACACTGCATTCCTCAACTTTTGATAAATATATGAATATAGTTAGCACAGAGAGTTTTAATGGTTATATCCAGAAGTCAAGGTTTTTCTGCAAGGTCCTAAACAAAACCAAATCTTGAAGTTCATTATCTTAATTTTAGGCATTAAAAAAAATCTTAATTATACCAAAATCTTCCACACCAGACCTTAACGGTGACAGATTATGCGTTTTTGAACAGGTTATGATTGATCTATGGGCTACACAAAACATGTTCATCACATATTTTTGTACAAAATAATTCTTAGATAATGAGATTGAAATGTCTTCAGGCGTCTTGTCATTTTAAATCCAAATAAGCTGCTGTTGGTCACGCCCCTCCAACTCAACGTTTACACTCGCTCGTGAAAACATCTGCAAACAGACGCGCAACTGTACAACCATACATCTTTGAAAAGCAAAAGCGGCGCCTACTGCACAACCAACTGGCATGCAGCAAGTGGTTTCTGAATGGTAAGTCAACAAAATTCGTCATTTCCAGCAGCCGTTGTGCAGTGGTAAAACCAGCTGACCAAATGCGCTGGAATTCTGCTTGGGTTGCTATGAGGCTCCGCAATCAGAATGTTTTTAAAACTGCTAATTTTCCCGACACCAAAAGCGAAGCTATTATAAGCTCGCACACAGAGATTTTATTGTCAAAAAACCGCTGCGAATAGTGTGTTTTTTTTGGGCTGTTTTTTAGAAGCATTTGAGACCCAAATTTAAGTACAAAAATACATAATGGATCCCTTTAAATTTGAGTTATGGCTTAAATTTTCCATTTTTTAATTATTAATTTTTACCTTGATTTGTAACTGATGCAGGCATTGTGGTCTTTTTGCACTGATGACTACAAACCTTTGGGAAACAAGTTCTGGTAGAGTTTACCTTGTGGCTTTTGCCTTTTTAATGACTAATTTTAAGTGTTATTTTAATAAAATGAGACAATTACACATCACACAAAACATGAGAAATGGATTTGAAAAATTAGTAGCTTACAGCTTAAAAGAAAATTGTTTTAATGGAGAGCGGTGAGGATGAACAAATTCACTCTGAAACTACTATTGGCACTTTAATAATGGAGATATGAAAAAACTTTGGTTTTGAAGGTGTCCTCGACAACCAAATGGACATGGAAACTTGGACTAAGAATAAGGAAATTCCCTCGAAGACCACAACTACAGATTTGACAAAGACATCAAAAGAATTTTACGGTTCCTGATAAAACGGACCTGGAATTGGGCGCTTGCTCTGGAGATAAAGAAGTCAACAGTACAAACAGAAATCTGTACTTTTACCAGCGTTCCCACAGTCCTTGTTTGCTCGAAGGACGAGGAAGATTTGATGACGGAGGCATCCTGGTCTTCGTAGGGTGTCTGGGCTCTCTCCCTTAGAGAGGGTGAGAAGCTCGGTCATCAGGGAGGGACTCAGAGTAGAGCTGCTGCTCCTTTACGTCGAGAGGAGCCAGTGGAGGTGGCTCAGGCATCTCCTTCCTGGACGCCTCCCTGGTGAGGTGTTCGGGGCACGCCCCACCGGGAGGAGAGCCCAGGGAAGATCCAGGACACGCTGGAGGGACTATGTCTCTCAGCTGGCTTGGGAACGCCTTGAAATTCCTCTGGAGGAGCTGGAACAAGTGGCTAACGAGAGGGAAGTCTGAGCCTCCCTTCTTAGGCTGCTACCCCCGCAACCCAACTCCGGATAAGCGGAAGAAGATGGATGGATGGCATCAAAAATCTTTGCTTCTGAGAACTTCAATGACAAAATACACCTGGATGTGGAGGCTTGCTCAAAGAACGAGAACGTTAACTTTAGAAACCACAGCTAACTCGTTGCCAACTTTGCCAGTCTTCCCAAAGATAAAATGGACCTGGATGTCCTCCAAGAGCGAGAAAATTATCTCTGAAACCATAAATGCATGGAATATGTGACCTGAGTGAAGTTGACCCTGCCACCTTCTTCAAATCAGACAAAAATGCTGTCAAACGTTTGTGCTGGTTTGTGCTGCTGTCATTTTAAAGATATGAAGAAATGTTTCTAGAGGTCATCAAAGGTCAACCCCCCCCCCCCCACCACCTTCTTCAAATCAGATGAAATGGGTGTCAGTTAACTCGACTCCGTTTGTGCAGCAAAACTTTTCGTTTGTGCTGCTTTGGCTTTGAAGATATTAATGAAAGGTTAAAGGTCAAAAGGTCAACCAGCCCCTCCACTTTTATAAAATCAAACAAAATAAGTGTCAATCAACTCGACTCCGTTTGTGCTGGTTTGTGCAGCAAAAATATTTTCATTTGTGCTGCTATCATTCTAAAGATATTAAGAAAAATAGGGGGTCTAGGGGCCATCAGAGGTAAAGTAGGTCATGTAGTTGTGGTGTTTTACACTGTCGACGCAGAACGGCAGCTCACCAGCTCCTCTGCTTTTAATAATTTTATTTAGATTATTTTTATTATTCATTCTTTTTGTCTCTTTATTTGATTCCTCTGGGTTGCCGTTTGTCACTCCTCTTCGCTCCCTGGTGCCATTCCCTCGCTCTCTCACTTTTATTTTTCAGTTCATCTGTCTGAATTTGTATTCACCTTCATAAAAATTAGTTTCCTTTTATTTATTCAGCCATGTTTCAAACATTGTGAATATTAAATATATGAAACTATCTGAGGTCATGTAAACCTATTTTAAGATACCTATATCAACGTCCGAGGGTTTCTAGCATTTAAATCCTTTAGCGGCGAAAAGGAAGATTTTTAAAATTGAGCCTTAGCCTGGGCATTACCTTCCTGTGCTCGACTGGCCCAATCAGTGAAAAGAAAGAGAAATGATGAAAGATCATGAAAGATCACGAAGCGTGACTACGCTTCGTGCAAAGCGTAGTCACTACGCTTTGCACGAAGCAAAGCGTAGTGACTACACGTTATTTGTGAAAACTGCTGAGACCGTCTGCATTGATAATCTCGTACGAAACGACCATGTCAGTAATTTGTAAATTAAAAATTCTCACACAAATTACCTACTATATTTTTATTGGTTTTTGGCTTAGAATGGAGGCCGTATAGGAGTTAATCGAAAACTTTTTGGGGTCCGGGCCAGCAAAAAAATACTATCAATCCGTAACGAAAAGCATAAAAAAAATCTGACGCAAACAGGGCATTAGGAATAATTTTCTTCTGTTTGTGACATTCGGTTATACAGCTGGCACAGCATGGAGCTGTGACCGCAGACTGAAGAGTAGTTTCAACACAAATTCATGTCATTCCTCGTGTTTATGAGAAATGGCATGTTAACTTCATATCTGGAAGATGTTTGTAAATTTCAGTAAAATCTCAGGCTTCAGTTGTCCCTTGCGAATGGGCCACATTAAAAGCAGACGTTCGTGAGTAATTCATACTTACCCATGCAAATAGGGCTTAAAATATTAAAAGCACCTATAAAACCAACCAAATACAAAGCAAATTTTTCTCTGGTTAATCTCAAGATGTCAGATTTTCTACTGAACATTGAGTTTATCAGCAGATTTTGTGACAGCTTATACATCATTGTTGCACTGATGGTAATGCAGAGGGATTTAAATCCCAGCAGTTATTTGCTAGCCTGGGAAAAACCAGCCCCTTATCCTACGCTTCACTTCGTACAAAGGCTTTGAGTTCTTGGTTATTCAGAAACAATTGCCTTCCTGGAGGCGGGGACTCTGTTGAGGTTTTAAACTTTACCCAATTGTTAAAGTTTGGTTGTGACGCATGTAAAGCGCCTTATGACGCTTACTGGAAATTGCTTGTGCTGAAAACAACCATCCTCCACTGCAAAGAGAGAAGTGCCAAGATGAACGAGGCGGCTATCAATATTAGTTAAGTATTTGGAAACGTGGCCAACACGGACTGAATGAATTCGTTCACTTCCTTCGCTGCCATTGCTAAAACTGCAGGCAGACTGCAATTTTGAGACAATGCAGAAAATCAACGTCATTGTTCACAACTTCGCCTTGAGTTCGCTGATTGGCCCAGTTGAAATTCTACCGTTGTAATAATCGGAGTGAATGCCATGAAGCCCACACTGAGATGTAAGCCAGATTTGAATCAAGCAGAAATGGGTAGGAAGGCAGTGGCCAGGCTAGTTATTTGCTGACCACTTTGAACTACTCATTGGTGGAAAATATAACAACATATTCTTGCATCTGAGGCAAAAGGCTA